GGCCGGGGGTCAGGGCTGGAGCCCAAGGCGCCGCCCTCTCCCTGAGGCCCAGGCCCAGCAAGCCCAGGCACCAGAGCCTTCTGGCATCCAGGCCTCTGGCAGAGGCCCTCTTGCTGTTTCTAAGAAAAATGCAGCAGGAATCTTCCCTGCGTCTGCAGAGCGCCAAGGGGCCCTCGAGGCGGGGCTCGGATTCCCAGGCCAGCGCCAGGCCGGGCCAGGCCAGGCCAGCTCCCGCCCGGCCGCGGCGAGCAGCCAGGGCTGGTGTCCCCGGCACACGCTGCGGGAGCCGGGACAGCGCCCCAGGGGGTCCCTGCAGCCGATCGTGGGCCCAGCCAGGCTCCCCCTCCCCCCGCACCTCTCACCCTGGGTCTTCCCATGGCGCAGGCCACCTCTGGGATTAAAAAGAGCTTAAAAGTCACAAGGACAAGCACAGACTGCCCCTGGCACCCGGTGCGAGGCCCCGGCCAGCAGACCCCTTCCAAGGTGCCACAGCACTCACCCGCTCTGCTCCTGCCCTTTCTCCTCCCCCATCGCCCTTCCCGGTCTGAGAGGTAGCCTCCTCCGGGAAGTCCGCCAGGATGCCCATGACAGCCATTCTCCTCCTGACCCCACTCCACCCACAGGGCTCAGGGTCCTGCCTGCAGTCCTCTCCGAAGAACAGAAACTGGAGGGAGAGGTGAGGCTGTGCGGGGCTCCAGGGCACCCCGACCGGCCCTCACCTGCCCGCCTCCTGCAGCGGAGCTCCTTGCTGCTGAGACTTCCTTTCCTGGGGCCACAGCCAGACTCACGGCCAGTCCTCCCAACAGCGCAATGAGGTCACGCCGTGTGCACCCCCGTTAGGAAGCAGGGACACAGAGGGACTCAGATGCTTGAGGCCCACCCACGCTGGGTGCAAGCAGGACAGCCCGAGGTGTCCAGGCCCAGGGAGGGGCCAGGCGTGGGAGAGGCTGAGCCCCTGGTCCGAGGTCACACCTTCTGGGCCAGTCCTCTCTGCCATCCCACCTGCACCTCTGCTTCCTACCAACTCTCAGTGTCCGCTCCCTGCCTGGGGGGGGGGGGCAGGCGGGAGCTGGGGGTCTCCCAGGAGCCAGGGCGGGGCTCTGAAAGCACCCTGGGCCCACCCCCCTCGGAGGCCGCGGGGCTGGGACGCAGACAGGTGCAGACAGCCAGGAGCCCGCTCCGCGGCTGCCTCCCAAGCCACAGGGTGAAAGATGCTTTTATGAGCGGGATGAGATTTCTATCTCGGCGGTTTCTCTTTAAATTCTTTACGATTACGAAGCAGCGGGGGCTGCCAAGGAACATGATTTACTCCCCGAGCATGCACCAGCTCCCCGCGGTGCCAAGGGGAGCCGGAGCCAAGCAGGGAGGGCCGGGCGCTGCACCAGGAACCGGAGACCAGGCCGGTCCCAAGCTTGGCTGGATGGGACCGCGGCCGAAGGCCCAGCCCTGGGCCCGGCCGGCAGCAGGCGGGGCTCCGGCAGGACCTGTCCCCGCTCCCCAGAGGGCAGAGAGGGGCCTGATGGGGGCGGGAGCCAGCCCCCGGGACCTCCCAGCTCCGAGCGGCCATTCCAAGCCCCCTCAGGAGGGAGGCAGCTCCCATTTCCAGGAAAGCTGATCCCAAACCCAGGGATCTGGGCTCAAGTTCACGAGTTGGGTCTTCCTTCCTCCCTCTCTCTGGCTCATCCAGGAACACACACCCATCCTGCTTTCCGCTCCAGGTCCGCCCGTGGCTGTCTCAGCCACCTGACCCTGCCCAGCTCCCTGCCGCTCCCGGCCTCGAGGCTCCGAGGCTCCCAGCTCCTCACCGCCTGCCTCCCCTGCAACCTGGAGCTCCCTGCCTGCTCTGGCCCGGAGCCCGGGGGTAAGGGCGGGTCCTCCAGCTCCCCAAGCTCCCTGCTCGCCTGTGCACCAGGCCGGGACGGGCACGGCGCCAGCAGGGCTTGCACAACCCCCACCCACGGTGACCCCTCCTGACCTCCGATCTCAGCGTCTCCTAACAAGGAAAGCCCAGGCTCTGGCTCTCATGGCCACATGCCCATGATGTCAGTGCGGCTGCGGGGCGGGCAGGGCGGGCCAGCAGGGCCTCGCTGGCCCCGGGGCCCTGGCCCCTCAGCCCTGGGGGATCCTGGTTTTCCTTCTCTGAAGGGAGAGAGTGTCCTGGGCACAAAGGCAGCCCAGGGCGACCCTGGCCTCTCCTGGGAGGGAGGCTGGGAAGACGGAGCTGCAGGGCCCCGGAGCCTTGTCCCCAGTGCGTCCCCCGGCCCCCCTCGCTCCGTCCCAGCCCTGCTCCTGAGGGCCCGAAGCCTCCAGGCCCCCAGGAAGCCGGGGGGCTGCCTCAGGCCTTGGAGGCCGCCCTGGGAGGGGCGCCTACCGTCACTCCGATTGTGGGCGTCTTTCCCGACCCCTCTGCTGAGATGGCCTTCTGCCCATCCCCTACCCCTGCCTCAGTCTCCCCAGCAGCCCAGCTCCTCATGCTACCACATGACCTCTTTCCCCCACTGAGTGCTTCTGGGCCCCAAGGCCCAGCCAGGTCCAGCCCGGGCGGCAGCGGTGCCCTCGGGGGGCTCCTGGCACCGAGTGAGCACTCCCCGAGCGGAACAAGGCCCTGGCGGCCGGCTGCACCTCCCCGCACAGCCACGGTGGTGCCTTCAGGTGCGGGAGGGACTTTCTCCCAGACCCCGTTGGTGGCTCTGGGGTGAAGGGGACCTGCCTGGAGAGGAGGATGGAGGACAGCGGGGCTGCGGTCCCTGCTCTCCGGTCCCCGCAGGCACTGTGAGCTCCGAGAGCACCCTGCCCGCCCCGGGGGTCTCCCATGGGCCCCTCACTGTGCCTGGCCTCAGGGCTGGCCCCTGGCCCCTTCTCCCTGCCCCCCTCTTCGCTTGGGGCTTGGCAGGGGGTGCCAGGCCGACGGGCAGGCAGCAAGCCCAAGTCTGGCCCAGTTCCTGCCTTTGTTCTTTTATCTGCCCTGGGCAGGAATGCCCAGAATGCCAGCGCCTCCCCTGCAGCGGGACCGGGTCCCTGAGGCCTGCTATGCCAGCCGCTCTATCCGTCCGAGGCACAGATGGGGAAACTGAGGCACGGGACCAGAGTGGCCACCAGGGCGTGGGGAGCAGCCCTCTGTCCCCGGGAAGAACCCCCTTTCCCAGTCCACACCAGGCGTGGGACCCTGGGGCAGGCGCTGCTCTCACACCACACCTGGGGAGGACTCACCCCTCAGCGAGGGCCCCTGCCTGCCCGCGACCGGCCTCAGACCATCCAGGGCCCGGCGCACAGTCAGAGCCGGGCTCCCAGGGGGCACAGGGACAGGGTGCCCACTGCCTTTCAGCCGGTCGGACTGTAGGTACCCCCGTCCCGTTCACCGTAGAGTCCCTGGCACTCCGCACGGGGCCTGGCGCACAGTAGGTGCCCAAGTAGCCGGTAAACCAGATGTTCACCATCAAACCAGGTCATGTGGGACCAGGAGAGGCCGCTCCGGGAGGGGCCCCCTGCGTGTGCAAGGGCCCCGAGGCCCCCGCAGCCCCGCCCGGCAGCCAGGCCGGCGGCGCCCGGCAGGCTGCCTGCCAGGAGCCGGGCTTTTAGTCACCGCGGTGTTGGCTTCGGAGCTAACTGAGCGCGAATCGCCTGGCTGACGTGGGCGTCCGGCGTCGACAGGCCAGGGCACCGGGGTCCTATTTCTGGCCTCGCTTCTGCCTCCCGGCGGACCTTGGCCTGCCCTAGCCCGAGCCTCGGTTTCTCTCTCTGGGAAACGGGAACAAAGCCTCGTCCCTGGAAGGCCAAGGAGGCCCTCCCCACGCCCTCCCGTGGCCTCGGGGTGATGACAAAAACAACCCCGAGTGAGTGTCGGGCTCCAGGGTCCCTGGGGTGTGGAGGCCAAGCCACCCACCCTCGCCCTGTGGGGGGAGGGGTGCTCTAACCCCCTGCCTGCACCCTGGGCTGCTGGGAGGGGGACGGAGAGCGAATCGGGCTCCTTCAGGATTTATTGATCTGCTCTGAGGAATTCCTCCAGGAGGGCGGTGTCAGCAGGATAAATGGCTCATCTCTCGCCTGGGAGCGGGGCTGTGTCTGCACACCGCACTGAGCCCTCTTCTGCCGGTGCCTCAGGCTCATCCTCAGAAACCCGTTCCCCCGGACCCATCGCCCAGCCCCACCGGCCGGCCCGCCGTGGGCAGGCGGCGGAGGGCCGGCTGGGGAACCCAGCACCCGGCGAGGCGCGGTGAGCGAGCTGGGCGGCAGCCAGGCCTGAGGAAGGAAAGCGCTCGGCCCAGCCCTTCACCCCGACAAGTGCGCCCGGAAACCTGGCCCGCCCAGGCCCAGCCCGCCCCGCCCCGGGCAGGCGGCTGGGCCGAGTGACCTCAGGCCGGAGAGGGCCACGGCGGAGGGCTGGGGGGTGACCCGGGTCCTGCAGGCCCTCCCCAGGGGGCACAGCAGACTTCTGAAGGCCCAGCCCTCCAGGGAAGGCAGAGAGCGGGCCTCAGCCGCTGCCCTGCGCCACCGTGCCCGCCTGCCCGGCGCCTCTCTGCAGACCCCGGCCGGGCCCTGGACCCTCCCTGGGGACTAGGAGCTGGGCCTGCCACAGCGCACACTCTCCCAGAGCTCACCGGGTGGCCTACCGTCCCCGCCCCGGGCACAGCCCACAGCGCCCTCCCCGGTTCCTGGGAACCCTCCCGCCCACGCCCGCGCCCACAGGGCGGCTGCTCAAGCGCCCACACCCTGCAGAGCAGGTCCTGGGCCTCTGCTTCCTGGAGGCCGTGCCTGCTGCTCTCTGACCGCCCCCGGCTGCCCAGTCCGCACTCAGGGGAGACCCTGCAGGCCCGAGGCCGGACTCACCTCTGCCTCCAGAAGGGACCAGGGCTTAGGACCCTTCTCCAAAATGTCTGAGCAGGTCCCTCCCTGTCCGGCCTCGCCCCCAGGGCCACCGCGGGGTCCTCGTGTGCCGGGACCTCCCCCCTCCCCCCCTCCTGTGCCCGGAGCGGGCTGCCGGCACCCGAGGCGGCCCTTACCTTTGAAGGAGAGCCGGACGCGGGGCGTGGCCGGCGGCGGGTCCTGGGCGGGGGCGGCGGGCCAGGCCCCGGTCACGAGGGAAGCCCAGAGGAGGAGGCAGGCCACAGGCATCGTGGGAGGCCGGGGCCCCGAGCAGCTCAGCGGTCCGGACACCTGGAGGCAGAGCCACGGGTGGAGTGAGGCAGAGCGGGGTCCTGTCCGGCCCACGTCCGGCGCGGAAGGCTGCCAAGGGCCTCGGTTTCCCCATCTGAACAGACAGGGAGCCACATCTCACCACCCCTCGGCCCGGGTGCCAGTGAGAGCGCCTCACGCCCTTTCTGGTCCCCATTTCGTCTCCGTAACGGACGGCCCTGAAGACCAAGCCCCCAGTGCGGCCGGGTCACAGCGCTGGGGGGAGGGGGGGCTGGAGACTCCCGGTCCCGGCCCAGCCCGCTGCACCCCCAGGCCCGGCTCCGGGTCTGCAGCCTCTGCGTTCCCACAGGCTCTTCCTCATGCTGCCCCCAACCGAGCAGCCGCCCAGCCCCCCCCGGCTGGGCCAGCGGTGTGCCACCCTGCGGATCCAGAAAACCTCTCCCACACAGGGACAGGGCCTGATTGGCGGGGTGCGGTACGCCGAGACTCGGGGGCCACAGCAGCCAGGACCGGAGGGGCAGGGACGAGCAGAGTCTGCGTCCACAGAAACCACAGCAGGCGGGATCCGGGTCAGACTGCGGGAGGACTGCCCGCTGGGAGGGCGCCCGCTCCCCACGGCCTGTCTCGGCGCGGTGGCTTCCAGTGTTGTCTCCCCAGGCAGACGGGCTGTTGGTAAACGCAGCCCAGCACCAGTTGTCGGAACATATTGCTCCTCCCGGCAAAAGCCAGCGCCAGCTCCCCGCCCCCCCAGAGGCACCGGCGGCGGTGGCCGGGGCACCAGGAGCCACACTGCGAGCCCCACCCCCTGACCTGCTCTGGCCACGCCTCCTCCCGGCAGACCGGGCCCAGGTGACCGCTGGGCCCTGGGGTGGGTGAGGGCCTTGCCCGGGCTGACCTGCTGGGTGAGGCCCAGCTGCCACCTCTGACCGCCAGGCCCCACTGGGCAGCCCCTGGCGCCCTCCGCTGACCCGCCCCCGAGCCCCGGCCTCTCCCGCCAGGCCAGCCCCTCAGGTCCCTCAGACAGGAGGCGCAGCTGGGGCTTCCTGGCCGCTCCCCGGGGCACCCTCTGCGGGAAAGCCCTCTCCTGGGTGCTGGCATCTCTGTTCCCTCCGAGTCCCCAGCACAGACGCTCCTCCTGGGAGGCTGGGGGAGGGGAGAGTCAGAGCCAGCCCCTTCCCCGCCTGCAGGGGTGGGGGTGGGGGCACAGCGCTGGTGCTGGCTGAATGCAGGCTGATGGGGGCCAGGTGGGGAAGGGCTGTGCAGCCACACCCCCTTGGGGTACACCCGGGAGGCCCCACTAACCATTGTGGACACGCACGCACACATGCTCACGTGCATGCCCACACATGTTCGCACAGGCATGTGTTTGCTCAAGAACTTGACCTGCCAGTGGGGTGGGGCTCAGAGACGCTGGAGACAGGGTCCTGGCCTGGGAGGAGTCCCTGGGGGAGCTCTGATCCATGTATGGGGGGGGCGGGGTTCCGGTTCTCTCCCCTCCCTCCTCTCCGCGGCCTCATTTCCCTGCACCCGTGCTCACGGCAACAAGGTCAGGGTCACGGAGGACAGGGCTGAGTCCCCCAAGCGGCCAAGAAGGTGGAGGGCTTTGCCCTCCTGGGCTCCTGCAGGGACCGCCCCCCCCAACAAGGCTCTAGCCCTTTAAAAAGCGAATGTGGGATGTTCATGTCTTTTGGGGCCTCAGGCCCACGTCCAGGCCCCTCTGGCAGCTGGGGGACGGAGGAGGAGAGAGGAGGAGCAGAAAGGAAGGAGGACAGAGGGAGGATGGGGAGGGCATCTCTGGAGCCACTTCCCCCCGCCAGCCGCTGGACGCATCCCGTCAGCCCAACCCCAGGCTCCCGGCCGCCGGCCCAGGTGGGTGGACGGAGGAGGAGCCGCACCGCCACCTGGGAGCCCACCGGGAGGAGAGCAGAGGAGGAAGGAAGGAAAGAAGGCTGGTGGGAGGGAGCAAGGGAGGAAGGCAGGCGGGAGGGAGGAGGAGGAGAGAGGGAGGAGAGAGGGAGGGACGGAGAGAGACGCTCAAACAAAGAACCGAGGAGCTGGGGCTGGCGAGGGGTGCAGGGAAGGGGCGGGAGACGGAGGGGGTCCGGAGGTACCTGGGGTCGGGGCCAGGGGCTAGGTGGTGGGATTGTCTAGCTGCTCCAGACCTCCCAGGCCGAGCGTGGGGGTGGGGCGGGGGCGGACAGCCTGCCTCGGGGAAGGGAGCTTGACTCCTCGGGGCTGGGAACTGCGGGCTGGAGGGGGGGGCCGGCGCAGGGGCTGTGGGGGGACGTGAGGAAGAGATTATGAGCAGCACCCACCCCTCCCAGCCCTGGTATGCCCCCTGCGCAGGCCAGGCTCCCTCCCAGCCCCTAGCGCCCCCCTCCCCCCACACCCCACGGACCAGGAAGCAGAGCCACCCAGCAGAGCTGCGCCTGCCCCCCCTTCCGATGGTGGTGGGGGTTTCCCAGTCAAGGTCACCTGGGCTCCGCTCCATCCTCCCCCTCAAGGTGTGCCCAGCCGAGCAGGGGGGCCGGGGGCCAGCTGGCCGCCCTCCCCGCAGCCACACTTCCGGATCTGGCTGCTCCGAGCTGCCCGGAGGGGCGGCCGAGCCGGCGCCCCGGCTCCCCGGACCCTCCCGTGGGGACCTGGGGACAGGCTCGGCTCCCTCTGCCCACCCCCGCGGGGCTGGGATGCGCCCCCACCCCTGGGTGCTGGTCCCGGGGCTGTAACTGCACAGAGGCTGCTGGGAGCCGGGCTGGGTGAATGCAGAACAGGAATCCCAACCGGCCCACCTCCAGGCACACAGCCCCGTCTGCCCCCGCCCGGTGCTCGGGCTGGGCTCACAGCATCTCAGGAAGAAGTTCCCTACCCGCCGCCGGCCCCCGCCCGGGGTCCAGCCCCCTGCCTCGCTCCTGGGCCCCGATCCCTCAGGTCCCACCTGCTCCGGGAGAGCCCCGCGGTCCTGGGGTCCCTCCCACTTCGCCCCGGGCCGGCCTGCAGGTCCGCCAGCCCACCTACACCCCACAAACAGCTGGGTCCCCGATGGGGGGAGACTCGCTGCTGGAACAGCAAACCCACGCTGGCAGCAGGGGGCTCAGGCTGGCCCAGGGCTGGGAGGAAGGCCGGGCTGGCGGTCCCCTCCGCTTGGGGGCCGCCAGGCTGGGCCACTGAGGCAGGGCGCACCCCCGGGCACCGCGCTGCCGGGCGCCGGAGGGAGAGGCTGAGCGGAGCAGCGGCAGCCGGATTCCCGCGCCGGGACCGCGGGCGCGGCGGGCGGGAGGGGAGCCCCGGAACCTGGAGGGAAAAGTTGTCTGCACGCGGGGACTCCGCAGGCCACATCCCGCCCCCCGGGCCCCCGCCGCGGCACAGGGTCCGGCAGACCCGCAGGCACGGCGCCCGCTCCCGCCGCGTCGCCCCGAGTCCGCGGGAAGCGCCCCGAGCCCGCGGGAGCCCCGGACCCCCGGCGCCCGGCCGCGGGCACTTCCGCAGAGTTGCGGCGCCGCGGCCCCCGGAGGACCGCGAGGGGCCGCCGCCCGCCGCGCCCGCCGCACTCACCTCCTCCGCGGCGGCGGGCCTGGGCTCCCGGCAGGCGCCCCGCTAGCGCCTCCCCCGGGCCATGGCCCTGCCCGCGCCTCTCGCCGCTGCGCCCGAACCGGGGTCGGGTCGGTGTCGGTGCCGGTGCCGGTGCCGCGCCCCGGCTGAGCGGGTTCCGAGGGCTTCGAGCGCGTCAGCAGCCGAGGCCCCGGGCCCCCGCCCGGGCCATGGGAGGCTCAGGGGCGCGCGGGGCCGCCTCCCCCCGGGTGGGCTGCGGGCGCCCCTGGCCGGCGCGCCGAGGGCGCATTCCCCGGAGCGGGGCGCGGGGCGCGGGCCAGGCGCGCTGAGCTCCGGGCGCTGCGCTCGCTCCGCTCGGCCCGATGGCGCGGGGCCCGGCGGCCGCGGGGGCTCGCGCTCCTCGCCGCTCCGGCCTGGGCTGCGCGCGGGGCTCTCCGGACGCGGCGGCCGCTCGCTCCGGTCTCCGCTCCGGTCTCCGCTCGGGTCTCCGGCCGCCGGCGGGACGGGTGCTCCGAGCCGCGCGGGGAGCGCCGGCAATTGGCCGCCCGTGGGCGACATTTGCATAGCGCGGCCCCGCCCCGCCGCCCCCCCCCCGGGGCGGGACCCGCCCGCCGCCACCCCGCCCCCTCCACCTGTCCGCCGCCCGGACCGGGTCTGCCCGGCGGAGGGGCCCCCGCGCCGGCCGCGGCCCCTCCGCACCCCGCGCCCTCGCCCCGGCTCCGCGGGCGGCGCCCCCGCCCCGCCCGGCTTTGTCTCTCGGCGGAGCCGCGGCGCACGGCGCCTGGTGTTTACCCGGCGCTCAACTCCCAGGCGGCGGGCGGGCGCGGGCCGCGGGGACCGGCTCACCTGCGCACCGGGCCGCGGGCTCCTTCCCTCCGCTCCCGCGGCCGGCGAGCCCCGCAGCGCAGGGCCCGGACTGCGCCGGCCGCTCAGCAGGTGGCGGTGCAGCCCCTGGGACGGCGGGCACCGCTGGGGCCGCCCACGCCCTCCGGCCCCGCGGCCGGCGTGCAGCTCGCAGCTCTGTCCAGCCGCCCGAGGGCTGCCAGCCGCCAGCCCGTTCCGGCCAGCGGCCCCAGGACCCGCCCAGGATAGCTCCGTGTCCCCGAGGCCAGCCCCGCTGCCTCCTCTCCAAACGGACATTTGCTTTCAAACGGCCTCGTGATGACCCAGGGCCCTGCAAGGGGTGGGAAGGTACCCTCCACCCCCAAGGTCATGGCCTCACAGGCCTGGACCGGTCCAGCCCGCCCCAGGCACTTTGCTAAGGTCCCCAGGGGCATGGGCCCTCCAGCCTCCCTCCCTCCTCTCCTGTTCCTCCCCTTCCTCTCTCTCCTCCTCTCTCACCTCTCCTCTGCCTTCCCCTCCTTTCCTCCCTCCCTCTTCTTCCTTCCCCTTATTTTTTCTTCCTCCAGTCCTTCCTCTTCCTCCCAAGTCCTCCTTTCTCCATTCCCTCTCTCGGCTCCTCTCTCCTCCCCCGCTTCCAGACCCTCTAAGGAAGGCCTCCCTCCCTCGGACCCAGTGGCTGGTTGTCTGCAAAGGTGGGGTGGGGTGGGGTGGGATGTGAGGGATCCTGGCCCACAGGCTCCATCCAGGCAGAGGCTGGCCGTTTGAGGCCAGAACCCCCAGGCCGGAAGCACGTGGCTGCCAGTGACTGTGACTGCACCACTCTCTGTCACACAGCCCTGGCTGGTGCGGCTCAGTGGAAAGAGCGTCAGCCCGTGGTCTGAAGGGTCCCAGGTTCGATTCCGGTCAAGGGCACATGCCTGGATTGCAGGCTCAGTCACCTTGGGAGGCATGCAGGATTCTCTCTCATTGATGTTTCTATCTCTCTCTCCCTCTCCCTTTGTCTCTGAAATCAATAAAAAAAAATATTTTTTAAAAACACACATAAAACACTGCGACAGCCGTCTCTCCTCATCCCCACTCCTCTGTCCCAGGGTCACCCCTAAGGGTACCCCCCCCCCCAGCCTCCATCACCAGCGCAGGTGGTGCCATCGCCATGGCTTCCGAGGCCGCCACCCCTTTCACCACCCACAGCCCAGACCTCCCTCGTGGCCCACCACCTGTCACCACCCCAAGCGCGACCCTCCTCCCGTCACTAAGGCAGAGCTGCGAGGACTTCCCAGTGGCCCCGGGTGCTGGGCTGGAGGAAAGGGCTCAGCTGATTTGCCCACGGAGGGCATTCAGCGGCGGAACAGGCCGTGGGGGGGCGGGGGCAGAGGGGAGAGCTCGAGCTGAGCCTGGCGACGCCAGTGGGATGCCAAGCCTCCTCAGGAAGCCAGATAATCACTGGAAGCCAGGGCAGCAGGACGGCGTGCGCGCTGCGCCCTCGCCCGGTCCCGCGGGCTGGGCCTGTTGTCCCCGTGTGTCCCAGGCCGCACCTGTCCGTGAGGGACGTGCCACTGGAGGGCATGCAGGGCCTCTGCGTTCCCTCCACCTCGGAGCCCTGGGCCAGCCCGGCGCCAGGTGTGTGGCGATTCAGCAGGAGTGTCCCCATGGCACCGGGGGGGCTGGGAGAAGAAGGCCAGCGGTGCGGAGGGCACTGCATTTCGGGGGCCCCAGCGAAGGCTCCAGGGACAGGGCCAGGCCCCAGGCCCCGTGGAGCCAAAGGCCTGCCATCAGCCCTGGGCTGGGGCCGGGGGCAATGAGTGCGGGAGGCAGGGCACTTGTGGGGTCCATCGTCTTCACTGAATGAACAAGAGCAGGAATCTCTGCAGCCTCCGGTGTGAAAGGGAGAGCCAAATGGCCCAGAGCCAACCCCTCGCCCGGAGACCCAGCCCCCTGGGCCACTGCCCCCCCTCCCTGCACCCAGTATCCTGTCTCTGCTCCAAAGGCCACTCGGGGGCTGGCTCCCCCTGAGAGCCACCCAGGATGCCCGCCGAGCGGCCCCCGGGCCAGGCCTCCGTCCTCGGCCGGACACAGGGCCAGGCCTGCCTCTCAGCTCCTGCAGGCCCAGCTGGACAAGCAGGCTGCCGAGGGGGCGGGGCAGGTGGCTAGGCCAGGTCTGGTTGGACCACTGAGCCGGCCTCTGGGTTCTCCTGCTACGGCTCCCCGCCCAGATGGGCTCTGGTGCCACAGGGCAGGCCCCCGGGGTGGGCCCTGACTGTGCGGCCCTGGGCTCCTGGCTCAGCGCCCCCAGGGATTTCTGAGGGGCCGCATGCCCACAGCGGGTGTGGCCCAGTCCCAGCCCCTGGGTGACAGCGGTGGCGGCAGGAGGGAGGTGCAGGTCCGCTCACAGCCTCAGCCCAGCCCAGCCGGGCGGCCTTCTGCTGGCAGCGCTCAGACGGTCTTTCCTTCCGGCTCTTCCGGGCTCAGCCCTGGGGCCTGGAGAGCAGCCCCGGCCTCCCGCGGCCTGCCCACCCCCTGTCTCCGCCCCCTCTGTCTCAGGTGGGGGGGCAGCCACCAAACCGGTGGCCTCGGCCGGGGGGAGGCTGGACATGGGGGCCTGCGCTTCAGAGGCCCTCCTGGCCCCCGATGAAGGTGGTGACTAACCCAGCACCCCCTCCTCTGGCCCCGTCTCCAGGGAACCTGTTTCCCTGGCCTAGCCCGCTGGGCAAGCCCCAGCCCGCCCGCCCCAGCCCCAGCCCCAGCCCCAGCCCCAGCCTCAGCCCCAGCCCCAGCCAAGTCCCAACCCCAGCCCCAGCCCCAGCCCCAGCCCCAGCCCGCCCGCCCCAGCCCCAGCCAAGCCCCAGCCCCAACCCCAGCCCCAGCCCCAGCCCCAGCCCCAGCCCCAGCCCCAACCCCAACCCCAGCCCCAGCCCCAGCCCCAACCCCAACCCCAGCCCCAGCCCCAGCCCCAACCCCAGCCCCAGCCCCAGCCTCAGCCCCAGCCCCAGCCCCAGCCCCAGCCCCAGCCCCAGCCTCAGCCCCAGCCCCAGCCCAGCCCCAGCCCCATGTCGCTGGCTCAGGTTTCCCTTTTTCTGGTTTTCTCATCTCCCCTGCCCCAGGCGCTGCCTGCTCGCTGGCCCAGCCCCCACTGCCGGAACTGGATCCCAGAGAGGGGGAGTGCTGGAGAGGGGGCCGGGGAGGGGGTGCGGGGTTGTTCAGGCAGCACCGGGAGGGGCGGGCACTGAGGAGTCACCGTGGCCCGGAGCGAGGATGGGTTCGGCCCAGCTCAGCCTTTTCCTGCCCGCCTGCCCCAGGGGCTGGCTCCGAGCCCATCGAAGCTGGAGCGATCCACCTCCTGGCCAGCTCCCAAGCTGCCTGCGGGCCTTTCCGCTGGTCCCCTTCACCGGCATGCTCTTCCCGGCCCCTCCATGCCAGGGAGCCTCGGTTCCTGCAGCCCCAAGCCCGCAGCCACCTCCTGCCCCACAGACACAGCCCCCAGCCTCCTGCCCCACAGACACTGCCCCCAGCCTCCTGCCCCACAGACACTGCCCCGAGCCTCCTGCCCCCAGCCTCCTGCCCCGCAGACAGTCCCGGACTGCACCAGGGCCTGGCCGCCTCGAAGGCCGCCTCGTCCCCCCTCCTCACTGCCGCCCTCGGGCACCCCGCCTCTCCCAGGCTCTGCACGCTCATCTTTGGTCTTGGCACACGCCATTCCCTGTCTGGGACGCCTTTCCTACTTCCTTCTGGATCCTTCGGGCCTCCTGTAGTCAGTCTGCCCAGAAGCCCATCCTCCGGGCTGAGTCAGGTGTCCTGCGGGCTGGCACCCTCCGGGCACTCAGAGACTGTCTGGCCGGACCCCTCCCCCTCCCCCGCGGGGCCCCCCATGCACCCATCCGGTCAGCAGCGGCTCCTCATAGGACATCGGAGTGAGCTAGAGATGGGGACCGGGGACCCCCACACCCTCCCTCCCCATGCGTGTGTGCTGGGCTGGGGCTGAGGGAGGAGGGGTCGGGGGGGCCCAAGCTCGGCTGGCTGCCAAGTGACCCGTGACCGTGGGCCGCCTCAGCGCATCCTGTTTAGACAGAGGCCAGCCGGCCGGCCGCACTCACCCAGGCCTGCCCGGCCGCACTCACCACTGCACCCAAGCCATCGGCAAATACTCGCCACTTCACCTTCAAAACATGGGAAATGTCAGGGACCCTTCCCAGCCTGCAGCCGTGTCCATGCAGCCACCCCCACCCCAGGTGACCCGCCCTCCCCCGACAGTGCGGGAGCCTCCTTATGGCCCCCTCCTCACAGCGGAGTCTGCAATCCAGTCCGGGGTGGGAGGGCTCAGAGCCACCTGCTAAGGGGGAGCCAGGCCACGTCTCCAGCCCAAAGCTCAACGGCTCCTACTCCCCTGGGCGTCCCAGCCAGTCCTCCCTGTGGCCACCCGTCCCCAGCTCCCTGCCTGCCTCTCAGCCTCCAGCCTGCTCCCTGCGACGCCTCCTCTCTCTCCCTCCCACACGCGTGCGTTCCGGCTCTGGGCTCCCCTGACCGGATGGGAGGGGGTGCAGCCCAGGCCCCTCTGTCCTCAGATCGGGGTCTGCTCACATCGCCGGGGCTGAGGATGAGCGGGCTGGGCGCCCACTGGCTGTTGCCTCGTCACCTGAAAGCTGGGCTGGCCAGTGTCCCG